GAGCGAACGTGACACGGATGACTGTCATTAGATGGCAGAGATGACATCCCGCCCAAGGTTAAAATTTGCTCTCCGGGACAACGACAAAGTGACGCTCAGTGTGTCCGTAAGGACTTGGTGCCTGAAAGAACACTGGTCCCTGCAGAAGGGACCCCGTGGAGGCACCCACTTGGGTGGGGGAGTGTCTCCTCTACCAGAATAACAAGGTTTGAAAGGATGAGCTCTGCTAAGTCTAACTTAGGGACCGATGGCGTGACTGCCAGTCAGCTCTAGCTGCAGACGATACTTTCATCTTAGCAATCTGAATTGCAAAACATGTTTTCCTAACATCTCTCCCCCTTTTGCATCCAGCATGTTTGTCAGTTTTTATGTAACAAAAGCTATTTTAAAATGCTGGGCTTGGGTATTTCAGCTGAAATCCACTTTCCAGCTAAATGGACTTTCACCTCATTGCAGGAAAATCCCATTATTTTGCACTGAAGAACTGCGCCCTTCACAATTCTCTGCAAAAAGAAAGAAATTTGAAAGTTGTCCTTCCTAAAAAACTTTAATCTATATTATTGCTTAAATAACTGTATAAGAAATAACATCCTCTGATTAGTTTTTGGGGTTTTTTTTAAATCACATTTAACGTAAAGACTTTATTTGGTTGCAAATGAATTTCGTTATTTAAATATCACCCAACAAGAACCATTTCTGTGGGAAATAAAACTGCAGATGTAAAATAACATTAAAGAAAATAATTTAAATCAATCCGGTCTCTTGGAGCATGTCATTGTTTTGAGTTACTCATGTTGAAACCCTGTATCTTTAAGACAGGCAATATTAGGGCTTCACTGGCCCTAACACATGGGTCCGTCAGCAGTGTCCGGCTTCCATCCATCCATCCCGAGCACAGACCAGCATTCACATGTATTTCATGAGTTTACTCGATTTCTTACATGCATATGTGAAAATAACTCTTGGATTTTCATTTGTATACATAAGCACACATATGAAATTGTCCATCATTTATGCAGGAACAGCATCTTACATTCAAGTACTAGATTTCTGGCTGCCGTAGATTTGGTCCTTTGAAGTGTACGGAGCTGCAGTGACCTTCAGCAGCTGCAGATCCCGCCCTAAGCAGCTCCTGCATTTCTAGCGCATTTTTGGCATCCCAGGGCAGGAAAGAAAATGCAATATTTGTGTGTGCCATCATTGTCTACCAGTAACTTCCACAAGGAACTTTTCAGCAGATACACTTGTTTTCTGCTGTGCTCAGTGTTGATGTAACAGAAAAGCTTTTTATCCCTCTGGAAACTCTCCTGGGCACGATATTTAAACACTCTTTTCTTTGCTACTAATATAAAAAAGCTGTGGGAAAGAAAATATTCAAAATGACATGGCAAAGCAGAGATAGTGGACTTGCTGAATATAAAGCCAAACTGTCCCTGCCAAGGAGAGCACTGGAAACATCTGGGTGAAAAGCAGCAGCACAGGCCGTGGGGTGAGCAGAAGAACCAAATAATTCATTAAGATGCTGCTGCAAAGCAACCACTTGCATAATTCTGAGGGGCAGCAAGCAACAAACTCCTGGATGAGGAGCCAGACAGCCCAAAAGCAATCTGAACGGGGCTGTAAGAAACCAAGGTTGGGTATTATTCCAGTTTCTTTCAGCTGTCGGTGAGGAACGTGGTCCTAAAGCCAGGCCACCCTTTGGGGCTCTGGCACAACCAGGCAGTCATGTCCTGGTGCAGATTTCCTTCTTAACAGTAAATTTATAATTCCTTCTCTGAAAGAATAAATGTTTTATTACTGTTCAACTCTCTAATCATAATGAAGGAGTAGAGAGTCTTAATTAAGTCATTAGCAGCTGTTACGAGTCTATATTTTGTTCTGTAAACCTGAAAGAATAAATAGTATTAATACTATTAAAAATTTATAACTTTTTTCCCCATATTTTCTGTATGTTATAAAACGCCTTGAGAAATTACATGAAAGTTACTACGCAAAAACCAAATAAGGGTGTGGGGCCCATTTGAGCCATAACAGAAAGTGCCGAAGCACCAAACTTGCTGCTCCCCCTCCCGTGGTGCCGGCCCCACCATGGACCCCAGCAGCACCGAACCGCGCCTGGAAATAGCAGCCCGGCGCCTTGGGAGCAGAAAGCATGAACCAGCAGCTCGTGGAGAAAACCAAACCAAGCCCATGGGATGGGCAAGAGCCTTGATGCTCCATGCACGGCGGGGTTTGACCCGGGTCAGTCTGCAGGGCCTCAAACATTTTCCTCTGGCTGCACGGGGCATCCAGTAGGGAATTTAACTGCCGGGCAGCAGGACAGCTTTTCTTAGCCACGGGAGATTTGTCATCCTTCACAAATATCTTATAGCAGTCCCTGGGCAGGCAGGACCCTGCGAATGGAAACGACTGGCCAGCAACCGCAGGGAAACCTTGTAAAAAAGGAGCACAGGAGGAGCGAGCCTCCAAAGGTTTCAGGTCTGTTACTAACTTTTAAGATTTCTTTCTGCTCACGGTGCGGCTGCCTGGACACAACGGAGCACCACTGTGAGTTTATCCTTTCATATATAAAATCTCTCCATAGCTGCCCACTCAGTCACAAGGCAAGAAAACAACGTGTACGTTCAACTTTAATGAAATAATCATCAGTTATATGTACAGCTACAACCGAGGGAAAAGAAACAGCTACAGAAAGGATGCAAACACAACTCTGGATGCGGAGCAACAGTCGCAGGGGCTGGACCAAAGTATTTCTGCCATACTCCTCCTACTTTTGAAGATGTGTTTTGCCTAAAAGGCAAGACTGAAATACATGACATCCTCCCAAAACTGCTTAGTGGGCTGGCAGATGACAGCCTGGCTCCGTGGGGTCATTTTATATTTCTTTATACTAGCGTCTGGACATCCTCTTCTGCAGCTGACACCAGCGGGGCCCCACAGAGATGCTGCGGCCCTTTGCTGGGCACTGACCTGCCGTGGTGCCCAGCACAATCCCGTGCAATTCCATCAGCAACCTCCAGCATCAGTATGGCTCTTCTCAGGGTGCTGCGGCACCTCCGAAGGTACATATAAAAGTCCTGAAAAAGTCCCTTGCAAAACTACAGCGCAATACCTGGAAAGACCAGTACGGAGTACAAAGCCATTAAAATTGGACACGCTGAATTATTGATATCTGATAACTTATTAAATAAATTCACAGAAAAAGATGACTCTTTTTTTTTAAACATCCTCTGATTTTTCCGAAGTTTTACTTGCACAGGAACAAGCTGTGTCCCTCACTGCTCACAGTCCTCTTGTAACAAGAGACACTTTATCAAAGTTTAAAACGTGGTTGCACACCAGGAGCTAGGAAAGTTTACAGCCCTTGTATTTTAGCAGGAATCATCCAAATCCTACGCTGGGAAGGGAAATCTCAGTGTACCGCCTATGGTCAGTGAGCAATTGCCAAGCGAGGCTGCTATTTCTGTATCGGCTGAGGAATACGCAGGAGAATTTTCTCAGAACAGGCTGACTTGCCCACAGCTGTATGTAAATCCCAGCTGTGCAGATGCAATCCCAAATTATTAAAAGGCTCCTTTCTCTTGGAGAGCTGGTAGGTAGAGGTGATGCTCGCACACACATGCTGTGCTGGTGCAAACCCCCTCAGAGCAGGGCAGTTCGTGGGTTTTGACGGCGATCGACCTGTCCGGGCATTTCACGGCCGTGTCCCCAGGCCCTCACGTCTAGATTTTTTTCCCTGAGGACTTCAGTAAGATCATTCTGGCATTTCCCAGCATGTTTCAGAGCAAGCTACGTGGTGTGCTGAAGCCAGCCAGAGCCCAGCAGCGGCAAGCTGGGCGTAATGCAAATCTCCCAGGGGATGCCCGGGCTTGCCGGAGTCGGGCAGGCTCTGCAGCGAGGGGGAAACTGTGCAGGACAAGCTGCTGCCAGCACCCAGGGACGCTGGCAGCACCCATCCCAAACCTCCTCCTCGCTTAAAGCAATTCCAGCGCTGGCAGCACATCGCAGCTACCCAAACGATGCAGCGCCGAGGCTGTAGTTGACTGCTAACACGTGTGCAGCTCACTGCTATTTATATCACAAGCCACATATCAAAAATATGCTGCATCCGAGGACGGCTTCACCACGACACCGCGATGGGGACGGAGGAAGGCGAAGGAAGGAGAAGGGCTGCCGGCAGCTGTTACGCTCCTGCCCAGCCCGTGCCGCTGATGCTGCTGGGAATTTTGCCCATTGAGCTTAGCGGTGCGAGAACGGGCCCCCGGCAAACGAAGCACAGGCTGGGGTCAGCGAGGCGAGAGGCTGAGGCTGTGCTTTAACATGTCTGGAAATGCACAGGCTGCTTGTGACAGGGGAAGAGGCCAAATGGAAAACGCCACTCGCTGCAACCATCCGGCTTCATGCCATGCGACAGCGAGGGCGACCGCGGCTCCTGGCATCCGTACATAATGAGTACCTGTTTGCAATACTAAACACCGGCCTGAGCCTGTCTGCCATCGACGTCTTCCCATTAACATTGCAGTCACTTCACCCTTCTTCCTCTCTGCCAAAGCCCAGGGAAAACCTCCAGCCGTGTCCCACGTGCCCCGAATCCAGCCCAGCAGCAGGTCGGGCGCTCGCTGCCTCTCGGGACCTTTGGCTAAATGCACGGTACATACAGATCTACAGCATGAAGAGCAGGGAAACCTGGCATGGACGATGGCAGAAGCGTGGCCTCAACATAAAGATGCCATTAAATGAAACTACAGTCGCTGCAACACCTTAATTTTTCTGCAGCTGCGGCTGATGATGTGGTCTGAAGGCCCAGTCCCGGGGGACACGCTGGGCATAGGAGGGTCTGCCCCACGTCCCAGGATCCGTTTCACATAGACACACAACTGAACAGGCATGCAGAGTTAACTACACCTCGGCCCTGGGAGCCCTTCGAGCTCTCCCCCTCCCAGGCCAAATGGAGCTTTAAATCACTCCCTGTACTCTTTATTTCAGGGGCATCGCTGCCATCACAGAAAACTGTTGTGCTTGTTCTGTTCCAGGGCCATTTCGTTGACCAGCTGCTCTATGGATGACTGAATGGCCGCCTTCACCAGGGAAGACGCGGTTTCTATGAGGAGCAATTCGTACTGCTCCCCAGTTCTGTGCCCCTGGTCACCTGGACCTTTCTCCTCTGCCTGGGGACCGCCACCAGCCTCGGGGCCCTCTTTTTGACCAAAATCAAAGCTCCCGCTTGATTTTTTATTCCCTTTTTGCTTATTTCGGTGCAAAACCGGGGACGGCTCATAGGCCTGGTCAGAGTCAGTGCCGTCAGAGTCCTCGGCTTCAGTGACGGTGATGATGATGCCGACACCGGTGCCCACGTTTGCTTCTGACGTCACCTGATGACTGGAGGAGCCCTGCACGCTCGCTGTGTCATCTTTAAACGCTGACTGACTGAAATCCATCACAGTCTCTTTGGCTCTGTGCTCCTCAGGAAGATTGATGCTCTTTTCTGATTCATCTCCTTCAGGCAGCTCTTTGCAGATACTGGGGGTTTCCTGCAGCGCAGTGGTTTCAGGGGCACTGTCGGGCTGATCCGTGGAAACAGGCACTTCGGGAGCAACTTCCTCGCTTTCCGCATGGACTGTGGTTTGAGGCTGGCTCCCCTCCTGCACTGTTTCCGGGGCTGTTTCATTAACTGTCTCTGAATCGGTTATCTCTGATGGAGTGGTGCACTCTGGATGTTCCTCTGCGTCAGGTGTGGGCTCTGTCAAGGGCTCGATCTTCCCAATGGCGTTGGTGCTTTCCTTCGTTGTATCCTGGTCCTCCTCTGCAGAGACTGGGCTGAAGGATTCAGACTTGTCCGTCGGGGCCACATTCTCTGGCTCTTCACAAGCTTTATTCAAAATACCCATCACTTCATTTGCTTGAATGCTGCCCTCTGAATCCTCCACTGCTTCAGCAGGGCTGGGCTTTTTCTTGCCTCTGGAGAACCGCACGCAGGGCATCTTCACCCCAGAGCTCGCCCGTTTCTTTGGGAAGCCTTGCGCACAGCCCTCCTCGGCATCCACCTCCAGCTGCACCTGGGAATCAGAATGCACCTTCTTCCGCGAGGAAGGCTTTTGCCTTCTCCGAGGTCTTGCGAGGTTTTTGATGGCTGCCCAGGCTCCTCCAGAGGATCGCGATTGATGAGAAACTTTCGCCTCCCCTTGCTCAGTGCTGACGCATTGGCTTTTCTCCTCCGAGGCTCCTTCGCACGCATCCTTCACGCTCAGCCCCTTCCTACAGGACTTCTTCCGCTTCTTAAAACAGAGCATGGAGGGTTTTGCTGCCTGATCTTCTGATGGGGAGCACGTCACCCCTGTGCTGTGAGCCTCTACCTCTCTTGAGTTCTCCATTTGAATTTCCTTAGTGGCCTTCGCCATATTTGCTCCTCTCCTTTGTGTTATAAATTTTTTTGATTAATGCATCAGACACAAAAATTGCTCCAAGAGCATTTTTTTTTTCCCAAAAATTTTCAAAATGACGTTAGTTGCTTTTTAACAAGTGGATATGGCAGCGAAGAGAAGTTCCGCTGAAGCTATCGCATCCGCTTTGTAACTCCCACTTTGCCTTATTACTCACTTTATCACCTCTCCAAGGAATCCCGAGTAGACGTGAAGTTGAACAGGCTTCTCCTTGGCTTTGCCGGCCAGAGTCACTCACACCTCCAGGACAACGCACTTCGAGTTGCGCTCAGTCTAACAGCACGACTATTTAATTGCCAGTCTGACATTACCTTTTTTTTTTCCCCCAAAGGATGACAAATCAAGCCAAGAGTTAACAATTTTTATTCAGTCCACGGACCTGGAAAGAACTTGTGTTTCCTGAGCCGTCTGCAACGCCACATTGCACAGGGAGCTTGACTGAAGCACCAGTAAACCCAGCGCCCGCCAGTGGCTGTTTTCTGCCCCCCAGTGACAACGTCTGATGCTGCTTTGTCTCGGCTTTGCTTTCCGCTTCAGTTCCTCTCGCAGGTTACCTGAGGTTTGCTGCGAAACACGGCCACCACCACTTCCATCTTTTATCTGTAACACAACAAACAAACGAAAAGACATGTAGAGCAATTTTTTTTTTTTTAAAAAAAGTATTAAAAAGTATATTTTTTAAAAAGAATATTTAATTTTGAGAGGCAGACCAGGGCTGGAAAAGCAGTTCTAGCTGTAGATGCACCATAACAGTTTTTTTTATCCACTAATTAGCATCATATATGCAAAGGCAAAATAAGGCCACCAAGATGTCAATCCAGTGATGTTCCACCACATATTTTGTGTGGTTAAATGGGATTTTTTTTTTTAATTGCTTATATTACGGCAAATATATATTACGCACGCACACGCATATATTTTCCTCTCCTACGGTTAGCTACATCTTTTCCCCACTGCTCCATACACACTCAGAGTTCCAGCTAGGGAAATTACACCCTGAGACAGCAGATATTTTTATCTTTAATGCACCATACGACAATATGCAAAACCACAGAATACAAAAAAGAGGCTTGTGGAATACAGAAGCGAAATCACATGGCAAGGAGGGAGCTTATTTATACTACATGTGTGCCTTCCATGGCAACCTCAATTAACACCGCGTGTGTTCATCAAATATATGATACTGTAAGATATATGTCACCCTTAAAAAAAAAAAAAAAGCGCAGCCTCAAAACATCATCAGAACATTTTTAGATATAAAGATGCAAATATGTGTCACCGCAAACAGATCAACTTCTCCGGGACCGGCTCAGTGAGTCCAGGCAACCCTTCGCACAGTATTTTGCCCTCTGCTTTTAAGTAGTAAGGTGATTAAAGTGGGGGCTCCGGCGGGGTGCGCCCCCCCGCCGAGTAGATTTGTGGGGTTTTTTTTAATGTATTTTTTTTTTAATTTTCATTTTTTTAAGGG